TCCATCAGTACTTTGCATCATATTGGGACATGGCAGAGGTTTCTCTAAGAACCATAACACAAGTTTTGTGCAGAATGCCCTGACATTGTCATAGGTAACATTGACAAGATGCCCCCTGGTCTTTTAACTTTTTGTTGAGTACATTCAGCTCCTGTGTAATGTCAACAAGAAAATCAAAGTTCATGAGCCATTTGGGATCATTTAGTACAGGAACAACCACCCCATCCTTCCCCATGAAGGTTTTGAAGTCTAAAACGTGTTCAAACAGTAGGCAGGGGCAGGAAATATTTATGAATTATTGATGGGGAGGAAGATGCTATTGTAGGGAGAAGGAATACTGATTTTTTTAATCGTAGAAAATACCTTTTAGACTTACCCTGTTTTGAAAGTGACCAAGCTGACAGGCTCGGAAATTCCCTCAGTCGTAAATACCAGAGTACTAGAGTCTAGAAACATTTTTAATAGAGATTCTTTGATACTGTATTAGATTGCAACAATTTACACAATTATGATTGTGCATCACCCACTTAGCCCACATAATTTCTAAAACTTTTCTTAAAAATGCCCTTTGGCCATGTTTGTCTCCTAAAATGCTAAATATTTTTGTTTTTTAACTTTTAGTCCGATTTTAAAACGAGGTTTACCATTATAATCAACGTCCAAATCTATGCAAACATAATAACATCAGAATTAGACTAGTCGGTGAGATTCGACTGAAACAGTCCCGGAGGGTCACATGATAGTGATATGAGAATGGGGAAAACGCGCGGACCGCATTAACACTAAACTTTACTGTCAAGTATGGGGCCGCAAGTCTGAGACACCTGATGACACTGATGTAAGTATTATAAATTGTTATTTTTTGTGTGTGATTTGTTTCAATAAACTTCCTAAATATAAAATATCTATTCTATTAACTACTGGGTCACCGGCGAAATGAAACGAGTTCCGAAAAAAATATTATATATATAATTAACATCTTTTTGAAAGTATCTTTGTAGGGAAGATAGTATAAGGTTTTCTTCTATGTAGTTAAGCTGGTTAAGTTTCATGTTTTAACTTGTTTCCCCTTTCATTTCATTCTAAACCATTCCTCCACTCAGTCTCACTTGCACCATATTATGCTACCTGCATAGACAGCATTCCTCCATCTCAGCCCCACTTACAAATGCTACCTTCATCGACAGCATTCCTCCATCTCAGCCCCACTTACACATGCTACCTGCATAGACAGCATTCCTCCATCTCAGCCCCACTTACAAATGCTACCTTCATCGACAGCATTCCTCCATCAGCTCAGTCTCAGCCTCACTTACACATGCTACCTTCATTGACAGCCTTCCTCCATCATCTGAGCCTCGGCCTCACTTACATAATATGCTACCTTCATTGACAGTTTCATCCATCATCTCAGTCTCACTTACACATGCTACCTTCATTGACAGCCTTCCTCCATCATCTGAGTCTCGGCCTCACTTACATATGCTACCTTCATTGACAGTTTCATCCATCATCTCAGTCTCACTTACACATGCTACCTTCATTGACAGCATTCCTCCATCATCTCAGTCTCACTTACACATGCTACCTTCATTGACAGCATTCCTCCATCATCTCAGTCTCAGCCTCACTCACACATGCTACCTTCATTGACAGTTTTTCCTCCATCAGCTCAGTCTCACTTACCCTTACAATTTAAGCTGTTTGCATTGCATCTAAACAATGTTAGTGAATCTCGGTATGGAACTTGTCAGACATCCGGAAAAGGTTCTTATTACAAATCCATTGCTAACACAGAGTTAAATATTAACTTTCATCTCAGAAAGGACAGATGTGACCTCTATGAAAGTGTTCAAGTGGCTAGAAGGACAGATGTGACCTCTATGAAAGTGTTCAAGTGGCTAGAAGGACAGATGTGACCTCTATGAAAGTGTTCAAGTGGCTAGAAGGACAGATGTGACCTCTATGAAAGTGTTCAAGTGGCTAGAAGGACAGATGTGACCTCTATGAAAGTGTTCAAGTGGCTAGAAGGACAGATGTGACCTCTTTGAAAGTGTTCAAGTGGCTAAAGAACAAAATACCCTAATGGTGCCAGAAAAGTGATGCTACTAATATTGACAACAAAAAAGCAATGCCAGTGGCTGCGTAGAATGGTCTGAATGATAATCTTGTTAATGTTATTAGCTTTGATTTTCAAAATGTCATATCCCTACGTGATATCAGTCCATTTTTTAATAAACAAAATAAAATGTTTACAATTTGACTGGATATTCATCTAAAAATAAACAAGGTTATTGGGTTATATGGCCTGAGAGTTTATCTGGGAGGGAAAGCAATGATAGAGTTTCAGCTTTTATTAAAATTTTGCAAAGAGTAACTGAACCAGGTAGGAACAATTTTAAAAAATTACAGCATGGAGTGACTCATGTGTACCATAGAGTAAAAAATAGCATAATATCATAATATGTAGACAAAGGGCATGCATGGTATGTCCCAAAAATGGTAGCAACTACAGTGCTACCACAGCTGTGGGCATATCTGCAGTTGAAATAATGGTAGGAACAGGCTAGGGATGATTACTATGTTCCCCCCCCCCCCGATAAGCAGGGGAGTAGTGACAACCTCATGCCAATGATTCTATATGCACAGTCACTGAGGAGACTGTTCCTTTCCCAGGCAACTAGTTAGTCCCAGCTACTATATGAACTATTTGTGTAGTAGAAAGCCACTGTAGAAAACCCTAAAATAGAGGGCGTCTGACGCTTCCCTGGGGTGGGCAGGGGGAGAGATTAGGATTTAAATCTACCATCCCAAACCCCTTCAAAAGTCAACCACTGATGTTGGGAGTGCAAGAATTTTGGAAATTCGGTGTTCCTGGTCCCTCATGTGTTCAAGGTGTTGATAATATGCATGGTGTTCCTGGTCACTCTAGTCTTCAAGTTGTTGATAATATGCATGTTGTTCCTGGTCACTCTTGTGTTCAAGGTGTTGATAATATGCATGTTGTTCCTGGTCACTCTTGTGTTCAAGGTGTTGATAATATGCATGGTGTTCCTGGTCACTCTAGTGTTCAAGTTGTTGATAATATGCATGGTGTTCCTGGTCACTCTTGTGTTCAAGGTGTTGATAATATGCATGGTGTTCCTGGTCACTCTAGTGTTCAAGTTGTTGATAATATGCATGGTGTTCCTGGTCACTCTTGTGTTCAAGGTGTTGATAATATGCATGGTGTTCCTGGTCACTCTAGTGTTCAAGTTGTTGATAATATGCATGGTGTTCCTGGTCACTCTAGTGTTCAAGTTGTTGATAATTTGCATAGTGTTCCTGGTCACTCTTGTGTTCATAGTGTTGATAATATGCATTCACAAATTAAGAAAACCCTTAAAGCAAATGAAGTGTTTAGAGTCCTTAACACTGTGAATAATACAAAACCTTATACAAGCATACAGATGAGGCTAAATGCCTTCAAAGCCTCCATAACATGTGTTGATCAGCTTCAAAATCAGAGTATACCACAATTCCAAGTATCTTTACTGAACTGTACAAATGAGCTATTGGTTGGTTGTAGATCTAGCCACAAGGACATAGTATTTGAGAGCATCAATATATAAAAAAGTCTAAAAGCACAAGAAGTTGTGTTTCAATTAAAACCAACTATTTTTGCCTGAGCCAAAGAGAGTAATGTCATATAGTAATATAAAGAAATCAGACTTTAGATACATGCTTTAATTCATACCTGAGGTGGACAGTAACATACTATAGTAACATGCTTATGTTACTTGTATAGAAGTTGTTTTTGAATGGAAATAATGCATAAAGTTATAGAAGAATTTGTGTTTAAAACCTATTATTGTCTAATGAAAGTAGTCATGTTGATAATAATAAATTAATAATATAAAAAACTATACAAAGAAATATTGTCTGTTTTTGCTTTAAAAATAATTGTTAAATGTTTTGTCTTCGAAAAGAACAACAACTTTAATAAAAATTCTTTTAGTTTATCGAAACCAAACAACAAATCTTCCAACTCGAAGATCTCGGTTTGACCAAAATGTCACATAGAACATTGTTATTCTAGGGCAACTAGTCTGTTTACAAAAAAATCCTAGATCCCAGTGAATTAATTAAAAAAACCCAAAAAAAACCACCCCTTTATGCAAGCAATGCTGGAGTAAGGCCTTTTGATGCCTTAAGCACTTTAAAGATTTCGGTGCCCCCTACCATCTAAATAATCAATAAACATAATCTGTGAAATGCAACTTCACTGTTCTCAACAAAGCTTACATTATAGATAGAATATAATTTTTACATTTTTTAATTCCCAATTTTTTTTATTTTTTTTTTAAAACGTGCTCCTACATTTTTTGTAGCAATGCCTTTGATTACATTCTATAAACTAATTTTCCTTAATTCATCTACTTCTATGCCTTCAGGAGATAAAGCATTAAGCCTGGCTCTACTCTATACCTGTGTGACCAAGACAATATAATACAATTTATTTGAAAAAAGATTTAAATCTTCACATTTTTTATGTGAGACCGGTCCAGCACAATTTTTATAAATTAAAAGAGCAGGAATTCCTTTTGGCAAATGCTAAAATTTAGTTTTGTACTTTTCTACAGCTAAACAGAAGAGATGCTGGTGGAAATGCAATATCCTCTGGGCAGCGGCTTAGCTAGATTTGATGCCTTTCGGGGTGAGCCAAGCTTTGTGCCCCTTATATATATCGGTAAGGCGAAAAAGTGCCACTCATGGCTGACCATTGCACCTCTTCCTAAGCCACTGCCTCTGGTTAAGCAGTATAAGAGTGTTGGACTGCGATTAAGCTTTAAAGTAGGTCAATCAGTCAACATTTCACTGACTTGAAAATTAATTTAAGTTTGAGATGATGATAAGGTGAATTTATGTGTACAACATTTAGTATTCAACATATCTCCAATTTTATAGGTACTAAAATATTTAGCCGTTGAGTTTTAATATTTTTTTTCATTTCTTTTTTTCGGTGTATATTTTGTGGTTCCCCTTTCTCTTGATACCCTTTGCACATATAGCATCAAGATTATATTGCTGGTTCATCCAGGCCTGAATGCATGGGTTACCAACTCCAAAATAGGGTGGTTGCAAGGGGTTTTCTGTGGAGTGGCTAGCGAAAATAACAACATAAAAATATTGATTTTAAAGCAATTTTTAATGACTGAAACGTAAAAAGCTATATTTTTATGTGGTTTTCTTTTGCTATTTACCCTATTAAAAATGAAAGTATTGTTGAAGTGTTTATTATATAAATCATTTACAGTAAATGACTAACTTCATATATTTAAGTCGAAATAGTTTTAAAATGTTTAATGAAACATATTTCACATAGCAATGAATTTTTTACTTTGATAAAAAAATTTTTTAAATATATGAAACGATGTATTTGAAAAATCTGTGAATGTTACAATAATTCTTATAAATAAAACTGAATACCGGTACACAAAATAAATCTGACTCTCACATCAAGTAAGACCTTGACCCCACTTTTTTTTCCGGGGTCCTCCACCCCCTTTCTTCTGGATATAATAAGCATGCAACTAAGCAGACACACTGCACAGGTTGACTGAACTGGAGCTGATACAGGGCTAGATTTATGCTTCAGGAAAACTTCAGAGTTTAACTATTCTAATATAATAAAACTGAATCTACCCAGTTTCATGTTTATTAGATAGCTTCTTTCAACATTTAGATTTTTAAAATTCACTTAATGTTAACAGAAAATAAATAAGCACTATACAAATAATATAGCTGTGACTTCTTAAATTCAGGTAATTTAAATTAATAGCAGGCTCAATATTACATGATATTTTGTTCATCAAAGCAGGTAAAGTTTGTCCTTTACACTTCAATTATAATCCCGCTTTTCAATGCCATGAAATGGTTTTAATGGTAAAGGGTGTTTCCCCGAGTAGCATTATCACATGACTCATTTCTTTGCTTGGCATTTCCTGCTCTTGTGATCATTACAAAGTGAGGCTTATGTGTCCATGAATATGATTAATACATAGACTATTAAATTTTGCATTCTGGAAAATAAAGAAAGTAAAAATTAACTTGGTGGAGAAAATTAAAATGATTAATTATAAAAATTAAGTTGCACCATTTTTTTTCAACACATAACTTAGTAACATATTATAGTATTATTACCGGTATTAACAACACAGCATAACATTACAATTAACACAATTTATCCAAAAAGTTTAGTGTTAAAATTCTAACTGGCTTACAACTATATATAAACTCATTTTTTTGGGGATTGGACGGCATTTCAAATTTAATAATAGGGATTACTACTACTGGTAAAAAACATTTCAATTACGTCTTATTTCTGTATTAAAGTTGTTTTAAGCATCTTTTTCCGGTTACAGTAATCATTTATTACATGAGGTAATCATATGACAACAAAAAAAGGAGACGATTTTCAAAGAAACTTTAAATAGATTGAACTTACCTCATTTAAGTATACGAAACACTAAAAGATTAACTTCACTATCATCGAGACTGGACTCGCTGACTTTTTCTTCCTTCAAATGCATCATGCATACTGAAAGCTGAAATAAATGTTCAATAAAATGTTCATTTCATTTCTAAATAGTCATCATTCTAGTCATTCACCAATCTTTGAATTGTATAACTTAGGAAGTAGAACTTAAAAACAACAGCATTAACAACCAAGTTCTAACTACTCTTTTTAAATATACCAATATAATCTTCGTCTTTCCTATTGGTACATATTGCGAAACTTAATGTATAGATTTTGAAAAGACAATTTTTTTATAACAATACCTTTGTAAAATACAGTGCTAAAACTAATGTGAGGCAACAGATCTTTAACTTTCTGTACTAGTGTTGACTCATCTTTCATTCGTGCATATCGATTCCATATCAATATTAGGTCATCCCTGTCTCGAATGCTCACACTCACTCCAATAACATCATCATCTGAAAAATAAATTTACAAAACACATTAAGTTGAAAGTAAGATAACAATTAATTATAATTAACAAGGTTTTTGAATGACCATCAAATGGCTTGAAATGCCTTGTTTTTTAATATTCCAAAAACTATTGGATTCATAAATAAAAACTGTGTTCTTTCCCTTTTTCCACTGTGTGCACCTGCAGTAATGCTAATTACAGCAAATAGCAGATGATTTATATCCTGTTAATGAACAGTGAGGCTGTCAAATAAACACATCTTTCTGTTATTCTGATTAGACTCTTGATAGTTAGCAAAGGTAATAGGATGCACAGTTCTCAAACATTATCAAATTGTACTGTATAGACAGGTAATTTCAGTTATAATAGTTTATGATAATGTTCGAAAACAAATAAATAAAGCTTATTTATAGTACCTTGCAAGAGAGGTCACAGGAAATAATACTGCAGGGGAAAAGCATACATTTTTTAAAAAAAAAGACAAGTTGGGAAAACCGCCACAATCAATTAGGAAAATTCAGATACAAAAAACAACTTTGGTCACCGCTGGTTGTAGACTGGGTTACCCCGGAACTCCAAAAATAGTACAAAATCATTTCAGAATAGTAATTTACCATCACAAAATCATACAATGCCCTATGATTCTATGATAATAGTAAATAAAAAACATACAATGTGATGCATACAGGCCCATTGGAAGGCAACACTTTTTTTTCTATATATTGAGGGGCAACATTTTCGGACAACTGCAGTTTTTCCTTTGAAGGGGGTGGCAAAATTATGGGGTCACCCCAGTTGATACTAGCCCTGGCTACGCCATTGCATGTATACAATAACTATTGGCTAACTAAAGGTCACATTCCCAAAGTAGATGCCTGACGAAGATGGGTTTTGGGAGCGGATATTGTGTACACTGTCAAAGTCACCATGGTAAAAGTGTGGGTAGGGGGATACACTTTGGCATACACCTGAATGTAGTTTTGCATCATTCTACACTTAAACAGAGAACAGCTGAAGAAATGCTTTTTCTATTTATCTAGCTGTGCTTATATACATCCTTTAATTTTATTAGTTGCTAAATAGTAAAATTGTTTACAATTCTTATTTAAGGTTACTTATTGCAATCTATTTTTGTTGAAAAGTTCAAAAGAAGGTCTTGTACACCGAATGGTGCATACTGTTATAAAAAAATGTGAGGTATACATATTTTAAATGTGCGTTAATGCCAAGAATGAAAATAATAACATCCTTGAGGCAAACAAAAGTGAATATTGACTTGATGTGTCACTAGGGCAACTATGCTAATATTAACATAATGCTGTATCTAACCAGTTCATTGTGAAAACACAAAGCAACAATATGATGATTATCACCATCGTTACAAGGCGGTGTTATTTTATAGCCTTTAAAATTATTTAGGTACCTCCCTCTACCCTCTCCCATGCACACCTGCACACTAAGTACACTCCACCAGTAAGTCAACCCCCCCCCCCACTCCCCGTCTCAGTGTTTACAATTATTGATGTTGCCGAACAAGTAAAAACACAAAGCAACAATATGATGATTATCACCATCGTTACAAGGCGGTGTTATTTTATAGCCTTTAAAATTATTTAGGTACCTCCCTCTCCCCTCTCCCATGCACACCTGCACACTAAGTACACTCCACCAGTAAGTCAACCCCCCCCCCCACTCCCCGTCTCAGTGTTTACAATTATTGATGTTGCCGAACAAGTCGCATTTCTAGGGCCATTCACCACCTGATGAAGAAGGAAGCCAAAACCAACAATTTAATTTTTTTTTAATGAAAAACTGCTGGAATATATTTTTTTCAACCCGATCTCTTAAAATTGAAACTCTGACAGGTCTTGGCATACAATCCTAACAGAGATCTCAGAGTCGTACGTTGTACACCAAAATCGTACCAGGACTGGTGCTGATCAGTTGGTACAAATTCTGAAGTTTAAGTAAAACCTTTATTTATGTCAACTCTTTTAAGCATATTGTGTATCTATGCTGGGAAATAACCACATCACTAACGGCATCCTCACAATTAGGTGAACTGAATTACAGAGATTTTTTAAAAAAAGGAGTTCAAGAACTTAAAATATTGTAACATAAATGATGAATGGAACATAAAAGACTTTCCTGGGAGGCAAATGGTATCCTGAATTGGGAGTTCCTGTTTTTGTATGGATGAGTTCAATGAAAGAATGTGATGCCAGTATTCTCACAACTATAGAAAAACTAACTGCATTATAATTCTCTAAAAAGGCTTAAAGGATCAATGCATTGTATAAAAGCATCCTGGAACATCTTAGACCGCTCCATGGTAGAAAAGATTCAACAGCATACTTTTTATTGGCGCTCATAGAAAATTAGAAATGGTCAGAGATTTATTAAGAGATATGCAACTGTTTAGACCAGACAGAAAGAGGATAAAATTTCCACATCTAATGACATTGCAATTGCACCTTAAAATATGTTTGGGGAACTTTGGAAAAATAATCCATTTAATTTCAAGTAGATTTTTTGTCCTAAATTTTAAATTCTTAAGACATATTAAATAAAATAGAAAAATTTAATTTAACCTTCTGCCATGCAGTCAGAGAGCTGTTCCCCAATGGCAGCCAGAAGCAGTTGTTTCCATATTTCTTCCTGAGAGTGAGAGGACAAAGTTGAAAAAAATGAAACTGAGATTCAAATGTATTTTTATTTGATGCAAAAATGTTTAACCATAATGATCAAGATGTTTTAACTTCAACTAATCTATGACATCAAATCAATCAACATAATGAAAATGGTTATTAATAAATTTTATTTACTTATACATTTCTCTATCCTTTTTTTTTTTTTTTTCTTTATGTAATTATTTTTTCTTTTTTAGGAATTGATTTTTTTAAAATACATACTTTTTCTTTTTTTTTACACTTGAAAGTCCAACTTAATGGTTATTAATAAATTTTATTTACTTATACATTTCTCTATCCTTTTTTTTTTTTTTTCTTCATGAAATTAGTTGTACGTTTTTAGGAATAGATATCTTCAAAATACATACTGTGTCTTGTTTTTTACACTTGAAAGTCCAACTTCCACCTTCACTGTTTTCCTCATCTTCCCTTGAAGAATTCAAACAAAATAGAATATTAATTTACTTCATTACTTTGCTACATATATTTAGTATTTACACCATTCAATAACCAATCTGTTTATATATGGAGTCAACACTAAAAATTGAAAGAAATAAGTAATATTTTGATAATTCTTGTATGTTACAGTCTGGTTCAATTTTTAAAAATATTTGTATGGGTAGTGTACAATAGAAGGAGTAAAAGATGTCCAAAATATAATCACCTGTAGCACATTAAAAAAACCAATATAATAGAATTTAGTCAATGAAAACAGTCACAAATAAATTAACTTCCCGTCTGAATGCTATCATGTCTTATTACTGTACTTACCAAACAGGCCTGCGTTGCGCCCTCATTAGGTGATAACTGTATCTTATACTCAGCTTGGACGGGTCTGGGATATGGTTGTACACACTCCAAAAGCCCTTTGATAATAAAACATTAAGAATTACAAAAATGATTACAAGATGAACAATCATTAATGAAAATATAAAAAGAACTCTGGACTTTTATTTGGAATTTCATTAAGGTTAGGTTAGCTTTTTCAAAATTTAAAGCTGCAATTTTCAGTCAGTTCTAACTAACATACTTTTATGATTTATAAATTATAGCCTAGAGTTATATAGTACATAGAAATAGAATATGAATATGGGGGATTTAGCTAAATTTTGGTACAGTAGAACATTGGATTACAAGTAAGCTAGGATACAATACAAGCAAATGAGGATACAATCATACATTTTTAATACATTTTAGTATAGGTTTGCGAGCGATGTTTCAAAATTTGAGCACAAATTTTGAATTTTGAGCTGCATGATATTTTTTGTGGACAAGTATGAATGAGTCTATCATGTGAGACATCCTGTTCTGTGCTAATACCAGTGGAATTTTCAAAATAAAACTGCTCTTGGAGTATCACATTGAGACCACGAGACTTAACTTCTTTCATGTAATTAAACGATGTAAAATGACATAAAAAAGGGTAACCAAGTTGCATAAGCATTAATACTAATAGCCATGTTTTGATATTGTTATATATATATATATATTTCTTTATAAATACAAACTTACTAGTTAACTATTCATGACACATAATAAAAATAACCTACTTGGACTGTATCCACTGTGTAGATCTTAGTGAGAGATGATTCATACTCTCTGGCAGTGGTGCCACGGACAGATCTGTCAAAAATAATAAGTTACATATTTAAAATGCTTTTAATTTAAAAACCAGGTGACAAAATGAACAGAAGCTTGTACTAGCTGTACATGATGTACAAATCTAAGTACACTGTGGTCAGCATATTTCAATCCTATCACTTTTCATGCATGTAGGTCCCTTATATTAAATTTGTACCACTCAAAATTTGATAATGATACTTCAAAACTCACATACCAAGCTTAATGTTACCCAGTGAGTCAATTTGACATAAAATAATTTCTTGATGCCTATGTGGCAGGGTTGCCAACTCAACAAAATACAATTTACAAATGTTTCAGTCTTCAGTAAGAATTTATTTACTAATGTGCTATCATTTCAGGCCATTAATGATTAGTCCTAATTGTTTAATAAAAACCAGGCCCGAATATATGGATTGTGTGGTTGATTTTGGGTTAGCAGTAAGGTCGGCGATGTGTACCATGGTATAGGTCACGGAGGTTCCCCCAGGTCAACTTCTGTCTACAGCAGCACCATACTAAAAAGATTTTGATGTTTGTATTCGCATAATTCATGTTTTTGTTTTCTTTTTGAAATCCCCAGAGGACTTCTTTGTTTCTTTTTTTGGTGTTTAAAGTAGGGTGGAGGGGTTTGGGAAGGGGCCCTAGAAAGATCATTCCAAATGCAATTTAACTCATTCCCGACGTTTGCGACTAAATGCGTCCTTTACGGGTTTCTTCGGATGCGTCCAAATGCATCCCGGCGCATAGCGACACACCTCTCTCATATCTATTTAAAAATAGCAATGAAATCTCGCATCCCTCGAGACTTCCGGTGATGGCGTGGTTCAGCGTGATTTTAATTTAGAAACCCGAAGTTTTTATCTTGTTTCATTTTAAAACTATGTGTGCTTTAGTACGGCGCGTCTATATGTAGCATGTGTTCGTCCGAGGTGCCGAAAATCGATTTTTTGGCCATTGTTCGTTATTTTTTCCCCGCTAATGTTATATTTATATTAAACCTTATTCATTCTTTGTTGCATTTGTTCTTAATTCGTTAACATTAAATAATATTTAGCAGCTTAAATAAATATTTTACAAATGTAAATCAATTGCAAACGGAGTTACTTCCCTTTCTCAGGCAAATAAATTAAATACGGAAGTAGCATTACGGGAGGGAATGAGTTAAGCAGTAATCTCTCTTTTGTTACCCAAATTTTAACATGTACGTGTTTTGTTTTTCGACTAATGAAAATACAGCATCTTTGGCGCACGTCTTTTTTTCCACCAGTGTTGGGTATCAGCAAGGAGGTGTTTCTTTTTTCCTTTATTTTGAAACGTGTAAGTTGAATTTTAATACAAAATAATGGAAAATTTCATTTTAATATAGGCCTACTTCATATTAACCGTATCTTTTATGACGCAAGTAATGCTCAGTAAAGAACAGGAATGTTATCACACACATCATTTGGGTCCTACAATTAATAGATCTATTCACCCTAAGTCCAGTGTTGGGATTCCCCAAAGTGACGTCACTGTGCTTAGGGTGAGAAACTCTTGGCAAAACCCATACCGTTAAAGTTAATCCAAAATTTACCAATTGCATTTAATTTTATTGACCAATATTTCAAATACAATTAGGCCTATAAAATTAAATATAATAACTGCATACTCTGCATACTTAACTTAATACCAGTACTTATTATACTTAAACTGAGCTTATATTATTTATAATTATATAATAAAATCTATAATATATTATATAATATCATTATTTCTTTCATAGTAATCATAGTCATAAAATTAAGCCATACCCGGCCATAGAGTATGGCCATGGCCATGGCCATTTGAATAGGCTAGTCGGCTAGTCATTCTACACAAATAAGTTTAGTAGAGCTACAAAAGGAAGGACAAAGTTCACAATGTCAACTCTCGGCAGGATGGGACAATATAAATAAGTAAAGACTTAAAAAAGGACAGCAATAATTTAATAAAGAATCTATGAAGTAATTCAATGACAATGATTAAATTAAATGAATAACATAGAATAAAATTAATTATTTATATTATTAAAATTTAGGCATAATTATTGAGTAGTCGACCTGTCAATCCAAAATGTCCACGGTGTATTTAATGGTTCTAATGGCATATCTTTAGATTCTTTTGTAACTGTTTCGCACATACGATCTGCATTATCTAAAAGTTCTAGCTTATTATTGAAGTCAGAGGTCTCGTCGTTTTGTTTATCAACATTTGCAGCGGCCATTGCAAATGAGAAGTGATTTGAGTCACGTGACAAAAACAGATGACGTCGAGCTATTTCAAGGTCTTTATCTGGCTTGTTTCGTTTTAAATTCTGCCAAATAGTATTTTTCAGAATTAATTTCTTAAAAAATTTAATGTATTTTAGCTTTGTTGAACATAATTTGAAAGTTCGGTTGCATAATTTTAGATGAGCTTGAAATTTTAGAATCCTGGACTCTTTCCAACAAGCGCCAGAAATTTAATTTAGCATCCTATTTAGATGCATGGACCCTATTAGTAACAATAGTTATTTCGTATACAATGGCCAAATTGCAAATATGAAGTAGTAAATAAGACTAAGCAGATAATAGTTAAGTCATGTATTTTGAAAACTTAAAACTATAATATATTATTATGTAGGAAAGCAATTTAATGAAAAACAATCTGTGAAAGAAATTAAATGACAACCTTAGGGTTGCCAATAGTATTCAATCTTTCAAGATGATCAAGAATATTTGATAATGCATTTAAATGAGGCTTCTTCGTTTTACCTAAAATAATTCTTATCGACATAAAACTCTAATCTATATGTAAAAATATTACTAAATCTTTTTAAATTTAGTTAGAAAAAAAATGAAGACGTCTCGCACCACATACTAATTGCTTGACTAAGGTCAAGCACACCCAACTAAAAAGTGACAACTATTATAGGGGAAGGGGTTAAAGTATAGCCAATGTATCAATGATCAATGTCTTAACTTTTTTTTTATGTGATTGCGGTGTGTGACCTCCACACAATTCACACAAAAAATTTTGAGGGGGGGGGTGGGTAGGGGGTGGGGTGATATTGACTTCAGCGATTCAATAAATTGTGCCATCCTTTTTACCCACCCTCCCTTGATTTGATAAATGTTGTTTACGTTCGAATATCTTCTATTTGTTTTAAAGAATGCTATCAGGTGACGCAAATATCTAGGATTTCTTTTCCGTAGGTTTCTAACTTTGCTAATTTTCCTAGACATTTAAAAGACGTCATGTTCTTTGGACTCCATCCCTACCCCACTGTTGGTTGAGTCGTTAGATCATTTGCTCCCAATGATAATCCATAAAGTCAATGAAAGCTTATTTTCTGGCACTTTCACCCTTTTTGGAAGTCAGCTGTCATCAAACCATTGCTTAAAAAGCCTGGTCTGGATGAAAATAATTTAAAAAAACTATAGATCTGTATCTAAAGTCATTGAAAAACTTGTACTAAAACAACTTTTTGCTCACTTAAATGACCACTCTCTTCGCAGTCCTACTCAGTCGGCCTATAGACCTTTCCATAGCACTGAGACGGCTCTCTTGAGAGTCACCAATGACCTCTTGCTCGCACTGGACAGTGGTGATATCTCCATCCTGATCCTTTTCGAGCTCAGTGCGGCCTTTGACACTGTTGACCATGAAATCCTTTTCAAAACCCTTGAAAATCACTTTGGAATTTCGGGATCAGTTTTGGCTTGGCTTAGGTCCTATCTCTCCGATAGAACGCAGGCGGTCGCTGTCGATGGCTGTCTATCTGGCAGTGATGACTTGGTGTACGGAGTGCCACAGGGGTCCGTTTTAGGCCCGGTTCTATTCATAATGTATACCAGGCCACTGCCCCTCTTGCTCGGGAGGCATGCTGTGGAGAGCCAGACATTCGCTGATGACATGCAGCTATACAAGCATATCCATCCCTCTCTTGTCGATTCTGCTATCCGGACTTTGCGGGAGAGCATTGATGATGTCAAGACATGGATGACACTCAGCAAGTTGAAGCTTAACGATGACAAAACGGTAGCACTCCTTATTCATGATCATAAATCATCCTCAAACTCAGCTCTCCCCACTTCATTTCATTATGACAAAACGGTAGCACTCCTTATTCACGATCATAAATCATCCTCAAACTCAACTCTCCCCACTTCATTTCATGTAGGTAACTCCAATATACAGTTTACTTTCTCCGCTAGGAATCTTGGTTATATACTGTCTAACAATATGTCTCTCAATAATCACATCTCTCACATTTGTCACTCTGCATGCACCGCCATTCGTCAGATAAGCTCCATCCGCCAATATCTTACAGTTGGTGCAACAAAAACCCTAGTCTGTGCTCTTATTCTCTCTCGTCTTGACTATTGTAATTCTCTTCTATCAGGCTCACCAAAACATTTCTTAGAAAAATTACAAAAGGTTCAAAACTCAGGCGCTAGGCTAATGCTAAAGGCAAGAAAACGTGATCACGTCACACCACTACTTCATTCACTTCATTGGCTCCCTATACAAGCACGTATTGACTACAAACTCTCTGTTCTCTGTCACAACCTTGTCTCGAATTCCTCCCCCTTCCTATCTAACCAAACTTCTTTCTGTCTATTCACCCATTTGACAGCTTCGCTCCTCCGCAGACACGCGTATTCTAGCTGTCCCCAAGACTTGCACAAAAACATACGGTGAACGATCGATCTCTTTCTGTGCACCCAAAAATGGAATTCTCTTCCTTTACACATCCGTAATATAACGATCATCACAACCTTCAAAACTGCACTCAAAACACATCTATTTAATGTCTACTATCCTGACTGATTCCCACCTCTGAACCGTAAAACGTTTGTACTGAGTGTTGTCCATGGCTTGGGATGTAAATAGTTTAAATATACATTTGTTTTGTTTTATTTAATTAATGTATTTCAATTAATTATTTCAGATTTTTATTAATTGTATGTACAGCGCGGTAAGCCCAGCCCTAGGCTGGGGTACCACGCTATATAAAACCACGTATAATGATAATAATAAATAATATAGGCCTACTTACTGAACTTACTCGATTGTACTCTTACTTTATGAGTGTGTGTGTAATTTAGTATTTATATTTTCAAGTGCTGTGCAGTAATTTTATATACATAATATTAATTTTTATATAAATTTAGAACACTAGCTTTGGTATCGTTTTTCTTTGTATAGCCTATTTGTTTTTCAGTTTCAGTTCGTTGTTATGTATTGTTAGTTTAATGAGGCAAATCTTAAAATAGATTAATTTTTAAATCCAGATTTAATGGTACGTAGACGTAACACATTTAAAATTGAACAGAAAAATGATTTCAAAATATTTATCTTTTAAAAAACCAAGATAAATTATAGGCCTATAAACCTTTTGAAAAAAAGGGGGGGGGGTCACTTATTGCGTCGAATTACTTAAACAGACATTTAAAAAAAAATATAGGCCTATATTAAACTTAATATCGTGTCGATTCATGTCTTGCCAACACCCCAGTTTGGCTAACCCAGCATTAAAATTATTTAATTAAGTATTTTAACTGGATAGAAAAAAACGAAAAAAGTTAAACCCATTTTTAACTCTGCACAACAAAGACTTCATCAAATCAAATTGTTACATAAACTAACACTTTTAACATAGCCCGATTTAGGCCTACGTAATACAACCATTAAATACAGTTAAGTAAATAATTATAACAAGTTGTTGCTTCACAATTACAGGCTACACCAAAAAGGTATAGATCTAGTCCCTTAGGCAGTCTTAAATTAAACCAAAAAAAAGTGTCTGATGTCACTTTTAATTTTTTTTTTTACTAATTCACTTATTGACTTAGCCTTATTTTATTGATTATTGACCATTGACTTATTGAACTTCTGGTGATTATTCAGATTATTGTCCTAAAATTAAAATGAAACAACACTAAATTCACTTAAAACTGTCGAAACTTAATCATGAATCTGTTATATAGAATACATAGCACAGAATAGAAGACATTAATTAAATTTAATTTATTTTGTACCATGTCACAGCATCATGTCACTGGTCACGTCTACGAATATATTAATATTATTAATTGAAATTATTATTATTGCATTGATTTTGATTATTGAAATATTGACCTCTCAATATTTCAAATTAAAATTAAACTATTATACTTTTTAAGGCTAAAACTAATTAACTAAAGACTAAAGATAATTAGGCCATTAATCATTAGGCTAATAAAACAATTCAATGTGGAGAATGACTAGTGTGAGTATGAATATGATGAGTCAGTATTACTTAGGACAGAACATGATTAAATAACAGGTTTTAATTATTATTTAATAAGTTAAATATGGACACAATTTGTTTTGTATTTTATTTATTAACTACAAAATCAATATTTTAAATCATAAAGAAAGGCGTATGAAATAAATATTGGCATTATTTGGCAGTTAATTTCATGACAAAGTAAATTTTAAATAGACTTAGGGGCCATCCATAAATGATGTCATGCAAATTTAGCAGATTTTCGACCCCCTCCCGCTATTGTCATAAAAAGTTAGACCCCACTCAGATATAACTATAACTTTAAAAAATCTCTGAACTAACCCCCCCCCCCCCCCCCCCCACACAGCAAATTTAGCAGATTTTCGACCCCCTCCCGTGATTGTCATAAAAAGTTAGACCCCACTCATATATAACTATAACTTTAAAAAATCTCTGAACTAACCCCCCCCCCCCTCTCCCCCAATATAAATAATCCCTCCGCCCAAATGGCAAATCTGTCCTTTACAATTTACAGACCCTTAAAAATTCACCCCCCATAGATATCAAATTTCTGCACCTGTGTCAGAACAGTGGTTCTTAACCAGAGGTGAAAGCAGCCCTTGACGTGTGGAAGAAAATTGTATTGCTGCCATTGCTAGTTGTTGCTGCCTTTAAAAATATAAGTTTTTAATTCATGTTGATTAGAAGCAGTAAATGTTTTCCTGGTGAATTTTTTTTCCCATTACTTGTGTTGTTTTTTCACCTTGTTAATAAGGACTTAATTAAAGAAATCAAACTACTATAACTAAATAATTTTATTATGGTTTTTTAATATTTTAAATTTTGTTACGATATAATTTATACAGTTTGGGGTGGGTGGGTGTTGTGGGAAATGTTTAAAACTGAGTGAGACTGCAGCACTGTAAAAAGGATAAGAATCTCTTGTCAACCATTTTTCTTTCCATCCCACTTCACCATGGTAGTCCTATTTCTATGAGTCCCATCTCCACATTTTGACATAAATTCTCACAACTGTCAATGTTACCACACCCCGATTCTCCTGTTGCGTTTTGGCGATTTTTTGGACCTCGCATACCTGTACTGATTCTCTCACTGATCGTAGCTTAAAAATAAAATAATTACAGGTATAGTTTTTTTTATCAAAGAAAAATGTTAAAAATGACCATAATTTAGTGTTTTTAAGTGCATTTTTTTACTATAATATTCCGCTTCACACATCATAAAAATGTGACCTCCCTCCTCGCTAGACGTGTGACATCATTTATGAATGGCCCCTTAATAGAGCTTGCTGATTTTGCTAATACTTTTTTAAATTAAAACCTTTATTTGTAATTATTATTAGGAGACAGAGTCAAGAAAGCACAGAAATAAAATATAATTTATACAAACATTATAATATTATTGTGTAGGTCATGGAATCAGAGGATCAAAGTGTATGGTGATGTTGACAATAATGTTTAGTGAGCAAGTATGAACTGTTTTCATGTCAAGAATGGGTGCGGGGATTTTTGGGTTATAAAGGGAGAGAATGATTTGGAGCGTCAGGGAGTGAGAGACAGAGTGGATAGTATTTTGGTTAGATTCGCTGTGGGGCTTTTTACTGAGAATAATATTTTTCTGCCAGATGTATTTATGTATCAACTTCATTGTGTATCAAGTGGCTGTTTAGTACAGTGAAATAAACCCATAATGTACAATGAACTATTCTGTGTTTGAGTTAATTGACCAAGTGAGAGACGAGAATTGAAACAACTTGGTCTGATATAAAGTTAGATGAAATAGTTGCCATCGAAATTTTGCCATCATCATCATAATATATCAGACCAGGCAGAATATTTGACAATGAATGGTTTTATTGGCTAATATTAAAAATATTTATAATAATGAATCATTGAAGGGTGTGAAGTCTGAGGACTGGGTGAATATAGTAAATTTTAAATGGTAGTTGGGGAGGGGAGTACAATAATAATTGTACAGAATGTATACATATTTCTCATCTCTATCGTAAATCAAATAAGAATTTAAAAAATTCTGTTTTATTTTTAAAAAAATTATTTTTAATTTATTCTCTTAGGAGTAATTTTTATAATTGGTCAATTTAGCCCCATTTTCAAAAGGGGGTGGGTGGTTTAGGCTTTACTTTGGCTGGCTGTTATAATTTATAAACTAAATGTTGTTTTTTTGGAGTATTTTTTCAGTCATGTTTGGAATAGTAAAATCATTTATTAAAGGACTTCAGAAACCTGAACACTCTCTCATCTTAAAGGAAGAGGTAAACATAATAATGTAATCTTACAAATATTCTGTTACAAATTTTTTAAAGATGAAAGAAAAAAATCCATTAATTGTGATTGACATATTTTTATTTATGCCTCTCGGCCAATAATCAATAAAAAATAATGTAATAGACAAATTAAAATTAGCTTAAGATTAATAAAGATGTGCTAAGAGATGTTGGACCATATTTATTATCAAACTATATAGATGTGGTTCTGTAAAGGTCTCCATGAAACCCAAACAATCATGAAATTTATCTTTGGAGTGATTCTTTGAAGTAAAATGAAAAACTTTTATTGGGTAACTCATAATACAGTGCTGTTTAGCCATTTGGCAGCAACAGTGAGTCTGATTTGTATGTTGATGGCTAAAAATGAATTTCCAGATCTTTAAGCTTTTTGTCGACTTCTTTTTGGACATAATCCTTTTAATAACAGAGAGTTAACAATTTTCTTAGGAACATCTAAACCAAAATGTTTGGAATTCTGTTTTTTAAACCGGTACTGGTACTGAATTTTGTTGGCTGAGCAAAGAAAAAGTACTTTCAAAATTCTGGGATCAAACTTATTCAAAATCTTTTTCGGTTTGAAATCCAAGAAAGAATTGTTAAATTATCGGGAAATGGCGTTTATTGTAAGGAATATTATTTCTTACTGATATTAGCAGATCACCTGAACAAATTAATTTGAAGTTGGATCTGTCTGCTTTCTAATGTGCCATGCAATATGCATTTAGCTTATGTACAAGAATAGAATGGAGAAAAGTAACTACCCTACTAAACAAAAAAACGACTTTAGTGTATGGTACTTAGCTCAATGTAATAAAAATACATTAATAAACAAATCAAGTGTTAAACTGTGATTGTAACTGAATGGATTGCACTATTGCTAAAAATCATAATTTCTCCTTTTTATGTCATGTTTGTCATAAATATTTAACAGTGAAACATTTTTTAAAAAGTGGGTTTTTTTCATACAGAAATTTGAAATTCGCAAATACCCAGCTGCAAAATGGGTTAGCACAGCAGTAAAAGGCATGTCTCACAAAGATGCCTCATCAGAAGCTTTTAGACGACTTTTTAAATATATTCAAGGTGAAAATGAAAAAAGTAAGTCAAGTTAGCACCGAAAGATATAGTCAGTTTTTTGAGGTGATCGTAAAGATTTTACCTAAAGGTACACTTTTAATTTTTTATTTTAAAAGAAATGTTATTAAAATACGCTTTAAAGATTAGAAGGACACGTTAATATGTTTATTGTATTCCTTGCTAATAAAGTTTTATTTTTTTTAAAATGATAACAAATGGGATAGGTAACTTGAAATCTTATTTGCACAAATTAATTTTTTGCTAAGTTAATTAAAAAAATTATAATATTTAAAAATGCAATCTATTTAAAGGTATGATTGAAAAATATTGCATTGTGAAATGAATGATAATTCATTGTATTTCAGTTATGCAGAGAAATCACATACATTTCAGTTACATTTTATTTCTCAGTAGTCTTTTTTTATCATTTAGAAAGAAATATAAAAAATTTCAGCACTGTTGTCCCATCTATGCAAAAATTGCAATCTAACATTCTGGCAAGTTGATTTCAATGTAAAAAAAAAAAAAATTGGGACAAAAAGCCACCAGTATTTGAAAATTTTTGTTTTGACCTAAATAAACTTACCGGTATCAAAATGTGTTTGAGCTGTTTTAGCACAAAAACATTTGAATGGATATATTGTAATATAGCCCTTTGTAATACTTTCTATTAATTGACATTTAAAATTGATGTAGCGAAATGGGTGTCAGAAAATAAACAATGATTCATGGTTATAGGGAGATATTTATTTATGTATTTATTTAGTCATTTTTATATAGCCCTTACCTTAAAGCTCTAAGCGCTTTACAATTATTAAAAACATGTAAACTAAGTAAAATAAAAATGAGACACTAGGATAGTAACTACTATACTATAGAAACAATGAAAATGGCTATAAAACGAGGACACTTTGACACGTTTTGGCCTATACTTCAGGATCAACCTGAAACAGAAAATGAGGCAGGGCAAGGAGGGTGCATCACAGGTCATAGATATCTTCTATCCATGAGGCCTTCTTTTGAAAAAAAACCCCAACCATTGTGGTACTAATTAAGATGAATTTTTATATTTTTTAGTTCTTTTATTCATTAAAAGCAGAGAACCTGCTCAACACATGGGAGAAGAAAATCCTCCGAAAAATATACGGTCCAGTGATAGAAAATGATATCTGGAGAATCCGTACAAACCAAGACCTTTACTATTTTTAAAAAGACCCATCCATAGTCACAATGATAAAAAAAAAAGGCAGGTGACGCTGGGCAGGACATGTTGAAAGGATGCCGGAGAGTAGAGCGGCAAAAGTTATATACAGGCAGAAGTCAAAGGGCAGACGACTCACCGGTCACCAAGGCTGAGATGGATTGATGATGTGGAGAAGGATTTACACCAGTTGGGGGTTGTCGCATGGAGGCGGAAAGCTATGGATCCCTCTGAATGGAAGGATGTGGTGGAGCAGGCCAGGGCCCTACATGGGCTGTAGCGCCACTGATGATGATTTATTTATATGGCTAGATATCAGATGCACTTGATCTTTTGTTAAATTAATACTTTTTAATTTTGTAGTCTTTAACGGTACTGGTTACAACTCAGGACTAATCAGGACAAATGTCCAAAAAACCATTATTACTTTGATAAAACCAGTACGAATGGTCACTTAAATTATAAGGAACTAGTTATAGCCCGCCAAACATTGGCGGTAGCAATGCGTGAACTTCCCATCCACTAAAGTTACTTGACAAAAATGTGAAATCAAGTTGCGCACATTTTGAATGCCAATTTTGCTACACCCCTTCCCCCCTTTTTCATGATATGTCACGGCACACTTTTTATTTCACTCCGACCCGGCGGCTTAGCAGATGCCGCGAGCTGGTTGGCAAGCGAGGGTGGTGCAGGAGGCGGGCGGGAGCTCCACCGCTGTGTGCATGTCTCGAGACCAACGATGGGCAGGCAAGGGAAGAGAGGGGAGGGTTTGCCTGCGTCTTGCTTGCTCTGGCGTATCTAAATATAGCCTGCGTCGTCTTCTGGCAAATTATATATATAGATTTCTGGAAATAAAACTCAAAGATTTCTCAATGAAATAAGTCATTTTGTAGAAGCTCCTTAAAAAACCATAAACACATAACCCTCATATTACTAATATTCTTACTTAGAGTTCATTAAAAAGTCTTTGAGCTTTATTTATATGTTATCTCCTTCATTGTGAAAAAATATTTGGCAAAATTTAAGTGCCATTTAAAAAAAATAAATTTATTTTCAGAAGTGACCATAGAAATGACAGTTCCAGTGACTATTAAAGTAGAGCCTGGGGAGGGTCCGGCCTGTGAAACAACATTCACAGAATCATTTTATATTCCAGTAGAGCACCAAGAAAACCCGCCGGCACCAACAAATACAAATGTGTTCATAGAAACCAGACCAGAGTTGACTGTATATGTTGGGTAATTATTTAAAATTAGTAGCGTTATTTTTAGCACCTTTCTTTTTGTTCAAAAATTATGTGGTTAAAGTCCAATAGTTTCTAAATAGGGTGTGGCTCCTTCCTAATTACAGCTGCCTGATTGGGGAATCCATCCGGTGTTTTTCCCATAAGTGTTGATGTTAAGAGGTAGGCAGTATTTACACTGCACCATTGTGCCAAGCTTTAATTGTCCAATGAACCATAATTTGAATACAGTTAAATAGTGACTGGTATAATAAAAACAGATGATTTGCATTATCAAAAGTCTGTAAGTAGAATCTTACTTTTAATGGATTTAAATTTTTTTATCATTTGTCGCTTTTTTAATAAATTTATAAAAATTGGATGAAACCATTTTTTTCATATTTGTTATCTTCACAGGACTTTTGGCGGATTTGGAGACGATGAGAAATGGATTTATCATGGCAAACTATTAAGTGATGCTATTGGAGATGAGACCAAATTTCATTCAGATTATTATTACACAGTTGGTTATGATGCTCCTTTTAAATTAATCGGAAGGACCAATGAGATTTGGTTTGTGAAAAAGGAAAATTAAATTGATTTCATGAGGAGATTTATCTCAGATGTTTTTTTTTTCTAAAAACACTGTCATTTTAACTAACTTACAGTTATGTTATTAATTTTAAAAAAAAAGTTATTAGGAAATTATGGCATTATTTTAAATATTAACTTTTTAAAACTTAAATGAAAAGTTTAACATCTTCATTCTTATGAGGGATTGGAACTCATTTTTCAGTTTTGATTAGAACCATATTGTTGAATCAGCTTTTGGTTATTAGTTTTTATTCCATAAGAAAAAATACATTGTCAATATTTTATATTAATTAAGTTTAAAAATTAGGTACAAACATTTATAAACAAAAATCTTGTTGCTCCTAACAATATAAGTTTCAATATCAGGACACAAAGAAAATTTGTGATTTAATTTGCAAATAAAAAGTGTACCACTTCAATGTTTCATAAATGTTTAGTGTCCAAATTATTTTAAAAAATATTATATTCTTTTTGTTTGATGATATAATTTTATAATGTTCAGATGTGTGTTCATTGAACAGCATTAATCAACAAAATGAGAAATTTTTTACTTTTTTTAAAATGGAAAATACATACAATGGTTTTGGCTATGATGTGACAGAAAACCAAACAGGATTTAGGGACAGAACATTACATTTTGAAGACAAGGTGTTAATGTCAGTTACAAGTTCATTTGGTTTCTTTCTATCTAAATTCAAGTTTTCATACTAAAAATAATCCAATGAAAATAATAAAATAAAAACATTCAAAGCAGTTGGAAATACAAATCTATCAAGGGTACAAGGAAACAGCAAACATAATTGGCCAACAGTTGCATGGCAGTCTAGCTTTGATATTTACAATGAAAAACTTTACAAGGACCCAGCCTTTTGCATAAAGGATTATATTTATTAGTGATATGTATGAGAGGGCAATTTTTTAAAAATTATAAATATTTTATCACAATGTATGTTCATTGATAATACTTAATCTTCCATGAGGGTCTTACTGAATTAATTCAGTGGTTCATCAGTTAAATTTTAGATTAACCAAATTGTACTTCAAACAATTTTGAAGACCCTTTGCCTAAGACCCATTTGCATACAATCATACTGGCGCCGGTTAGCAAAAAAAAAAAGAAATAAATTATTTATAAAAATATTTTTTTATTTTAACATGCTTTTTTAACTTGCACCCCACCCCATTTCCTCCCTATGAAACTGTTGGGAAGGGTGAGATGGGGTTTACATTTAATGTTTGCTATACAGCAATATATAATTTCTTGTCTTTTTTTTCCCCTTCACATTTTGGTTTCTTAATATAATTGTATTGTGGAGATGAGATTTTACCCTTATAAAAGGAATGCACAATATATGTCAATGTTTATACAGAAATTGTCTTAATACTCCTTTACTCACCTATGTTATACTCATTATAATTATATTGCAATATATTAATGTGGCATTACCTTATTCTCAGACCTCGGGTCAGATAAGATAACTTAAATTGTGCCTGGCTTTTAAAGGTTTGTGCCTAGTGTAGACCTCCATTTTATTTTATGCTGATAGTCATGTAAAAGTTATAACTTTCAAACCTAACTTAAATACATTTGCAATATATTTTAGGTTATTCAGAACAGAAGCTGTGCTACTAAGCACTATTTACTTGGAAGAAGCTGTGTTTATGTACTTAGAAATGAATCAATGTGATATGTGTTTGTGTCAACTATTAGCAGGAATTTCACATTTTTTATTAGTTAATATTGAAATTTGCTAATAATTTCTCATCAGGGATAAATATGATTATTTAAAAACCATATGAATAACAAATAATCATAAATAAACAAAAAGATCATAAGTTATGCTCTCTCTGAGTTGTGTTCTTAATAAAACTTTTCAAAATTATGCACTTAGCTCAATCATGACTACTAGAAATAATTTATTTTGAAGATAAATTAACTCATCTCACTCAAAGCCTTTGTTTTTACATGCCAGTTTGCGTGTTCCATGTATTGCTTTTTTTTTTTATTTTAAATATAACTGCTTGATCTTTAAACTACTTCAATGCCAACATTAACTTTAGAAAGTTTTTAAAAATGACTTAAACGAATTTAATCATAATACTGAACGTTTGAGTGGTCCGTCACAAAACTTCTTGGTAAACATTTAAAATATAAATAAACTAAACAGAACACTGATTTTTTTTAAAAGTTTTTTTTTTCAATCTGCCTCACAGAATACCGATTTGAACCTACTTGAATTAAAACATAACAGCCAAATGTGTTTTTCTAACATATTTTATATATTTCTTAAAAATATTGATCTTCAACCAAAAATAGCAAAGCAAAAATCCGAACTACGGTACCGGTATGTTAAAAAAAAAAGGAAAAAATTTAAAAACAAGGATTTTAAGGGTCGTCCACTACTGAACGACCCTAAAAATGGAAATGTTTGACAATTGTTGACAAGGGGGATTGGGGGTTAGATTAGTTGACGCCAACAATCCTGTTTTCTCTATTAAAATTTTAATCTTAAAAATTGACTGGTTATTACATTATATTAACAAATTTAATGAGTGTAAATTAAAATAGTTGTATAATAATTTTTAGGCTTTTAACAATATAAGATTTATTTTATGTGACTGTGCACTGCTGATGGCTGGTCAGAATGTTATCACATTTAATTTAGTTAATGCAAGAAAAGTCAAAAGTTGGCCTCTCTTCGACTGTGGTCCCGTAGATTCTATTTGTAGAAAATGTCTAGGGTGGTATGTTTGCGGTCATGTTGCAGGTATGGAACAAGGACAAGGTTCAATACTCTTGTGCGGTCAAGATAAACGATATTGATCGAGTAGAAATTCGATATTTTGAGAATTAGGGGAAAACAGTTGCGTAGCTAAGATTGGTGTCCACCGGTACGGTAAACTCATGGTGTCGCCCCCTCCCCTCGACCTAAAAGATGGATTTCTTCTTGTTAAAATAAGTCCACAGTATAAAAATGACAAGAACAGAAACAAATTAATTGAAGGCCAGGAGGTAAATGTATTTAAGAACTGTAACAACGTTAAATTATCGTTATTTTAACAAAAATTTACTTTATTAAAATTTTTCCTGGTCTTCAAAACTGCAAACCTGTCAATCATTTTCACTTTCACAAATTACTGTCAATGATATCCTCTACCATATAACTTTCAACTGATAGTAGAGCCACATCAGAAAGCCTTGACTGTCCCATGGTGGATCGTAGATGCGTCTAGATAATCCTTAGTTTTGAAAAGCTCCACTCGCATAAAGCAAAGGACACACAGATCGTAAGAAACAATTGAAGGCTTAGCGTGTGTATTGGAAGAGACTATAGGAAGTCCCATTAAGCTATGGATTTCAAAACATAAAATATTGACCAGTCTATGAATTTGTGAAATTAAATATCAGCTGCCTGTCAACTCCTATGTTCTAATATGGCATCCTTCCGTCTTCGAGAAGACGATGGAGTGGTTATGTAGTGGTCCTACACTTCGACAAGTGGCTCACCAGGCCAATCCTAGATGACAATCTCGACTGCATTTCTCGCAGGAGAATATTGATTCCTGGTAAGATTTTGACTTCCGTATTGTTCTTTTTGTTGCAAGAGCCTCATTTCGCGTATCTTCTGCCTTTTTTACTCCTTCATACACTGTTGTTCGCCAGCTGGAACGTTGTTCGGCAATGAGCTCCCATTCGTTATTTCCAATATTGGCTTCCCTCATGCTCCTTTTGCAAAAATTAATAAATCTGAGGCTTGGCCGTCCAATAAGTCTTGTCCCTTCTGCCAACTCTCCATACAGCAGTAAACATTTGTGCACGTTCCAAGACCACCGTGTTAGGCACCTAGTACTGCCATCGAATGCGTAAAATGCGACGCAGACATCTTTGATGGAGGCTGTTGAGTTTCCGCTCATGAATGGTATATGTGGTCCACACTTCGCTGCCATATTGGAGCGTACTTAGCACACGTGCCTGATAGACACTTATTTTTGTTGTATCAGTTAGATTGAGATTATCCACGCCCGCTTACTCAGCTTATCTATAATTGCTGATGCTTTTGCGATCCTGATATTTATCTCTTCATCAACAGAGAGAGAACTAGAAATATTGGATCCAAGGTATTTGAAATGCTCAACAACCGAAAGAGTATAGCCCTCAATAGATATGATTGGAGGAGACGGTGCTTCTTGCATCATTACATGTGTTTTCTGTAGACTAATCGCTTTACAAGCGTGTGATAGACGATTAACCAGCCCCTGCAGACCTTCTTCTGTGTGAGATGTTAAGGCGGCATCGTCAGCGACCAGCAGTTCACGAATCAGCACCTTTTTTACTTTGGTCTTTTCACGAAGGCGGACGATATTGAACAGCCTACCATCAGATCTGGTATGGATGTACACTCCAACTTAACAGTCCCTGAAGGCAAATTGAAGGAGCTTCGAGAAGAAAATGGAGCAGAGCGTTGGTGCCAGTACAAAACCCTGTTTTACTCTGCCGCTGACTGGGAATGCCTCAGAGACAGCGCCATTGAAGTTTACTGTGCTGTGCATATTTTTGTGAAAAGACTGTATGATTGTGAGCAGTCGTGGGGGACAACCTATTCTTTGCAATTTGCAAGATACTGAAAAGGCTTCTCCGACTTACCAAGTCGAATGCCTTTGTCAGGTCTATGAAAGCAATATAAAGAGGCACATGCTGTTCACGACATTTCTCATGCATTTGGCGTACGAGAATATCATGTCTATTTTTGAGCGCCCACACCGGACTCTGGGTGGATGCGGTTAGCCACAATCTGCAATCGTTTAAGGGCAACAAGGGGCAAAGGTCTTTCCAACTAAGCCAAGGCGAGTAATTCCTCGGTAGCTATTGCAATCACTTCGGTCCCCTTTATTTTTATACAATGTTACGATGTTTCTCATGTCCTGGGTAATGTGACCTGTTTCCCAACACAGTCAGAGGAGCTCATGCAAGGGCTGAAGTAGAATAGATTTTCCATTTTTGAGGACTTCCGGTCGAATGCCGTCAATCCCTGGAGCCCTCCCATCAGCAAGGTAATCAATGACTTTTTCGAGCTCCTGTAAAGATGGCTCTTCATCTAGTTCTTCCATTATTGGCAAGACGGGGATATTATTCAGAGCGGTCTCATTGACTACATTCATTGTTGAGTATAAATGAAGATAATAGTCTACCTACCGCCGGAGTTGATCGTTTGGTTTCTCGATAATTTGACCCGTCATGGACTTGAGTGGTGCTATTTTTGAAGTGTGTGGACCTAATGCTAGTGACGAATCGGCAAAAATTTAAACATTAGAGTATTTCTGGGTTTCGATTTATTTGTTACAAAAACTTTTTAAAAAAAAATATATTAATTTAAATTAATTTTTAAAAGAAAATAGAAAATTTGGTAAAATATCATTTTGGTAACACTATAAACTTAATTTTTTTTTTTTTTTTTTTAATAAAGTTTTAAATTTTTACCGAGTCGATTCGTTTGCTTAGAATTTCCCGACCACATAGTATTTACTATCAATTAAAAGCTTTATTTAAGCTGAAATAAGTTGAATGCCTCCCAGTTTATTTATTTTTTTTTTTTTTTTTTTAATAAAGTTTTAAATTTTTACCGAGTCGATTCGTGTGCTTAGAATTGCCCGACCACATAGTATTTACTATCAATTAAAAGCTTTATTTAAGCTGAAATAAGTTGAAGGCCTCCCAGTTTACTGCTGAGTTTATACAGCTCCTAGACACATACGCCTCTACAAATAACAACGTCATCATAGTAGGTGATGCCAATTGCCACTTTGATTCCACCACTGACAGCTACGTGAAGACTCTGAAATCAGCTCTTGACACATACAGTATGATCCAGCTTGTCAGTGTCGCGACACAGAAGAGGAGTCACATCCTGGATTGGCTCGTTGTCAGAGAGGACTGCGCAGCTGTCATCCGCAACCTCCTTATTGAAGATAAAATGATCTCTGATCACTTTCCCATATTCTTTGACCTAGACTTGAAGAAGCCACATCTCGTGACCAGCGAAAAATTGATCTAGTGGCCTTCAGATGCGACGTCGCCGCCCTCAGGTGCAGTGAAAAAGACCCTGCTACAGACTACAACCGTGGCCTCAGAGTCATTTTAGACAAACATGCATCACTGACCACACGGCGCGTTACGGACCGCCCTTCCGCCCCATGGCTCACGCCCGAAATTAAGGAAGCGAAGCAGAAGCAGCGACGTGCAGAGCGGCAATGGCGGAAGTCGGGCTTGACCGTGCACCGACAAATCTTCGTTGACCAAAGGGAACGAACCAAAAAGTTGGTCCTTGCAGCTAGGACAGAGCATTTTAGTCATCAGATTATAGACAGCAGCTCAAGCAAGGACTTATTTCGCATTGTGGGTCAGCTGACCGGTAAAAATAAGTCTACATTTCTGCCAAATAACATTGCTGTAGGCGAGCTGCCAGACGCTCTAAATGACTTCTTTATTACAAAAGTTAAGAGGATCAGGGCGAAACTTGACAGTTGCATCGATACTATGATCCAGAATTCTCACCCTTCAACGGCTCTTCTATGGGTGAATTTGTTGAGGAAAATCCTTGCTGATACCCCAAGAAAGTCATGTTCGCTTGACCCTCTTCCAGCAGGGCTCTTGTATGAATGCCTGGATGAAATAGTCCCCATCATCACTTGTATCTTAAATCAGTCCTTAGCTACTGATATTGTTCCATCATCTTTTAAAGAGGCGATCGTCACTCCACTATTAAAGAAATCGAATCTTGACCCAAATGTGCTGAAAAATTATCGCCCCATCTCAAATCCACCATGTATCTCCAAAATC